CCCCAAAACCCCAAAACCCCAAAACCCCAAGCATCAAATTATAGTTACTTGAGTAAACTGATAATTAATAAATTACTTGCTCTTGATAGTTAAAATACTTCTTGTAATTGTATAATTCATATAACATTCCAATATATGATAATCATTTCAATATTTATTAATAGCAAATCCCATTTGACTTTCTCATATTTGCTAATGCCTTTATATCTAAAGCTGTATTTAATGTTACTATTACTGCTGTGAATGCAAGTTGTTGACTATTTGCACCATAGCCTTTTATCTTTGTTAGCTCTTCGTGTCTAATATCTTATCAATCTATGGCAGAAGTCTATTCATTACATTGTTATTCCTTCGCTCTAGTTTATTAATCACTGAATTGAGACTACTGTAGACTACACTCGAGTTATTACTATTAGGAATTCCATTGTTTCCTTAACTTTACTAGCCGTCAGAGTGCAGTCTATTGAACAGTTCTTTCTGATACTACTCATTTTTAATGTTCATGTTATTGTTATTACTGCTGTTGCTATTGTAGTTTGAAACATTAGCAATGTTATTGTTATTTGTATTTTGCTTTCTAAGAGAGATACCTTCATGTATATTATCATTAAGGCTCACCTTGCTATTCATATGAGCCTCAAGGGCAGCAAAATTGGTCTGCGAGGTGCCGTTATTATTATGAGAGCTTGAGTTATGATTATTATTGGTGTTATTCGCTGTTTAGATTGCTGAATTCTGATTGCTATTGTTCTTAGATTTATTGCCCAAGACTATAATCTATTAAAACTTGGGGTTATTCATCTTATTTTTAGATATTATGGAGTCAGTATTCATCTGTAGCTGCTAGAAAGTAATGTTGCCGTTTTAATTTGATTAGGTCTAATGGCTATTTCGCTTTTTCTACTAGTTTTAAGGTTAAGTTTACTATGAAGCCTAATTCTGCTAAACTTAAAAGTGCTGATTCAACACTTATGCATGGGCTGATATCTTTTAGCCAATGAATAGCTGAGATCTCTATCTCTAACCGAATATACCATTAATAACCATGTTATTATCATTATTTCCAAATGACCCCTCAAGTAGTCTTTAATGTATTTGATGCTTTTAGGGACTAAAGAATTATGGTTAAAGTGAGGGCTAAGAATTTAGTTGAGTCTGAGACTGCTAGGTTGAGGAAGCTTATTGATATATTTATTAAGGAGACAATTATTATTGTTGATTTGAAGATTGAGCTGTTTACAAAGTTTGTAAAGGTTAAGTCGTATTCTTTTAAGCTGCAATATTTGAAAGCTAATGAGTTAGTTGATAAGATTAAGAATTATTAGGCTATGGTTGTTACTACTTTTACTGCTATTAATTCTGTTACTAATTACCTTAGTTGCTAGCATTGTTTTAAACAATGTGCTGAAATTTTAAATTCTATGAAGAGGGGTTAACAGGGAATGAAATATCTTTCATAGGACTCTTTCTGTGTCTAAGAGCATTTCGAACTTAATGGTTAAGTTCATTGCTTAAAAGTGCGCCCTGCTTGTCTAGTATAGGAAACTCATAGTGATTGTAACTTTATATCTGAGGTCTGCCAGTTGAAGCCACTCCTAGATTAGAATTCCTGTACTTCTGATTCCTTGAACTCTCCTTAGATAAGATCCTCTAAGTTATAGGCTGATTAACTGTATTCAGGTCATTATGAAATTAATGCTGCTGATCATACTTATTATGAATTTCAGAATTCCGTATTCTTTCGTAGGAGTCTCTCAGTTCATTTCTTTTCTTCATTTATCTTACATTCATATACCTGTTATGCCTCTCATATACTTGATTAATTCCCTACTCTTTTGAAAGCTGAGTAATTGACAGCTAAGGTAGCAAAGTATGATGCTAGCTTAGTTGTTGGGCTAGTATCTTACCAGCTTTAGTCAGCATTAGCTCATTGATATTAGCAGTAAGCCCAGCACCAATTCTCAATTCACTGTGCTAAATAACTCCTCCTCCACGAGCATCAATCTTGACCTAATCTCTGATTCCATAAGAGTTTTAATAATCTAGTGTTAGATTTTATTAAGGAAAGTTATCTCTTATCTCAGAGCTGGGCTTTTTTCCAGATGTGCTGACAGAGCTTTTCTTCATTTGGAATCTTGATATACTTCCCTTGTCGAATGACTAGTCTAACTTATCATAGTCTAACTTGTTCAGTGATTCATGTACCTTAGGCTGGCCTTTATGCTTCTCTTTTTCTATGAGTGATTTCCTATTCATTGGCGAGGCCGAGCGAGATCTTGTTTCTTCTCTGAGATCATCCATCTAACTTCTTTTCTACTCAGAGTTATAGTAAACCAATTCTGGTGACTCCATTATATTATGATCAATAGATGACCTTAACTATTAAGGTGTTTATCTGAGTTACTCATTTCTTATTACACTTTGATTGCTTTTCCTATGCTATCTTCTTATTTAACTTTGCCTTACTTCTTAATCCATTACATCCTAAGCATTTGGTACCTAAGGATTATCTTGACTTTCTTGATTAAAGGATTAATTCTAAGGGGATAAAATTATATCAGATTTTAGCTAGTGATGCTTGATCTATTGTTGTAACAGTGTCATTCTATTCTAGTTTTCATTATTGACAATCTTTGGAAACGGTTTCTTAACTTCTTCAGCAGGTATTTTAGTAGTTGGGAGCTTCCTGAATTTCTTCTAATTAGCCATATTGTCTTTCTCATCAGCCTCCTGCTACAATTACTATTTACTGACTTTAAAGTCCATCATAAACTTCTTCGCATGATCTGAAAACTGCTTGTAGTAATTCAGCTTATCCTAGTCAACGACCTTATTATCAATCATTGGTGGAAATAGGACGTCATATCCTCCCAGATTTTACAATTCATATTCATCCCTCTCTCTTAGTTTCTCAAGATACACATCATGCCTTTAAATTGATTAGAGCTGCTTTGACCCATGCTTAGCTCCTATAATTCTTGATTCACTTACTTGCTTCAATAACTCAAGTAGCCTAATTGATTTTTTATCACAGAAGTAAATTAACTTACTTTATCTTTTCTGAGATTGTGATATTCAGGAGTCTGAATGTATCAGTTAACAAATTTCTCTTAACTTATTTATCAAGCTGAGTATCATCATTAAAACTAGGTGCATGATTGACTTCTAAGAGTTAGGGTCTGCCTTTGTGATCTAGGATAATGTCAAACCCTAATATCTCAAAGCACATGTTATTGTATATATCTCCAGGCTGACTTGTTCTATATTGATGAACTAGATCTGGCTAAATTGAGATGAGTGTTTTTACTATGATTTCATACATCTATTACTTGATTTCCGGGACATTCAATCCATCAGATTCTAATTTATTGAAAATAGCAGCCAGACTTCTCTTGTGACCAGTTTCACCTCTTTCATCAGCTGTGAAGTTTTCATTGTCCTTGTTGATAGCATAGTTAGTAAGATGAATAAAGGGATTATTGAATGCTTTCAACTTATACTTCTCAGATGCAAATCTTGCTAGACCTTCTCTATGCATAAAAATTCTAAGTGGCTATACATTTGTGACTAATACATATATTCTAAGATCAAATTTAAAGCCATCAATCAGGTATGGGTTTCGCATGTATTTTTACACGACTAGATGCTCATTTGGATCTATTTACTCGACTTTCCTAGTAATGAAAATACCTTTACCCTAGGACATACATTCAGGCTTAACAATAAAGTTCATCTTTACACCTTTTTTCTAGTAGTTTTACTGTATATTTTTCAACTCGTTCATCTCATAAGGCAGTAGCCAAGTTTTTGGAAAGAACTTATAGTCCTTAGCAAACTATCGCTTCATCTTCTTCAAATTCCTTGCCAAGTAGTTCTTCCTCGCTATGTTAAACATACCTGGAAAGTGATTGATTTTCTAATATGGTTTTATTTTAGGAAATTTGTCCAGGGGAGGAGCTAAGTCAGTCCATTATACATCCCAGTCAACTCCGTTTTACCAGGGGTCTCTCTGACTAGTTACTCTCCATCCGAAGTCTTTCTTGGCTATGTCCTTGATAATTTGATACTGTGTATCTAAAGCATCATTTTATAAATAAGAAATTGACTTACTAAATGCATTAAATGTTATTCGAGGGGGCTTTATTTCCGCAGGAGGCTGCTTTGCTTCCAAAGTTTTCAAGGCTTGCTTCTAGTCTTCCTTGGGCTTCTTTTTCCTTTTAAGCTTTTTCTCAGCCAAATCTCCAGCTTAGGATGTCAGAGTCTCGTTTGAGTTGGAGTAGGCAGTGTCAGTTTTAGGGTCCTTGCTTTGCTGAGTAATGTTAAAAGCATTAGAAATCTGCTTCAAATCTATTTGATCTCTCTGAAGATTATCAATATCAATTTTCACATTCCCATCCTGATCATCAAAATTGCTAGTTAATGACTACTTCTTGGGCTATAATCTTAATTGTTGTGATTAGTATAATTACCGAGTGCCCTAATTTTTCAATAACCTCCAGCCGAGTGTTACTGTTATCTATTGTTTGCAGATTCTCTTAATTCATGATACTTATAAATTAATAATTAAAAATATATTTTATGAGCTACTTGCATTTACTTTTTTAAGAATGATGGGGTTTTGGGGTTTTGGGGTTTTGGGG